CCCCAAAACCCCAAAACCCCAAAACCCCATATAAAATTAAGAGGGTTGAAACTCAATGAAAATATTCAATTGCACTATTTATTGACTAAAGAACTATCCCTGTCGTTGATTTGCCTAAAACAATGATGGTTTAGAACCTACATAGCTTTACACTGCTTTTGTAGTTGTAAGGGCAAAGGCCTCCCTCTACTATCGGACCTTCATTTTGGACCAGTTTTATGTTACTCTTTTGTCTATCGAAAATTAAATATTTGTACCAATTTCTAAAGTCATATTCTCCGAGTAGAGTGCCTTTTTGACTGGATAAATTTTAACCGAGAGTACGGACTAGTCGAATTGAGGATTTTGATATTTTCGAAATACATTTATTTTAAAAAATTATTTTCAAAATTTTAAGGAATAGCTTACTTTTTGTGAAATTTTGAAGCTGCTCGATCAAGTCTTTTGGAGTTAAAATAACTCATCAATTTCTCAGAGCTCTGACTGGGATTCCTAGACTTACTCCTTTGCTTAATATTTCGTAAATCTTTGGGCTTTCTTAGAGGTTTAGAATTGTGTTGTTTTTGGTAAAAGTCTTTGTAAGTAGGCAATCCTATTTTTATCCTCTTAATTGAAGGCATATTCCTACTGCTCTTTTCTAAGATTAGGGATCAAAATGCAGTCTTACCTGTTTTTCGAGTTTTCTCTGAAGGCTACCAAGATATTAGGGAAGAATGAAATGTAGCACTTACAGTCCTTTTGGCAGTTTTAGTAGACAGAATAGGAAATCTTGGTGATGCATATACCTCCTTTGATTTATTTCTGAGATGATAAATTTGTTCGAGAAATATTTCATGGGGTATCTATAATTTTATTAGTCCGAATCACCTCCTAAGCAAAGTGTCAACAGATTACTTCCAGATTTCTGGGCGCTTTTGTTATGATCTCTAACTCTATTCTAAATCATGAGCAAATAGGCTTACTGAAACTGCTATAGTCAAATTGGATGTTCTTAATATTATAAAAAGAACTTGGGATGTTATTAACATGTAGGCAATTGCTGGTATTCCTCTCAAATCTCCCCTGAAGTATGGCATCAAACAAATTGCTTCTTAAGTTGTTAGAAACTTCTCTGTCGTTTTTCTTTTCATGAATTTTAAATTTATTTTCCGCTAGCAAAAGCTTTGCATTCATCAAGAGACTTTCTTTTATTCTTAAAATAATTTTTATCCAAATTCATCTTTCTTTGTTGAGATATTCTTCCTCTTTTGTCATTGCTAATGCAGTCATACTCGACTCTTGGGCTCAGTTGTTCCTTGTTGAATTTTCAGCCCTGCTTGAGCTTGACACAGGGGTCTTGGTTAGAAAGCTTTAAAATCACCTCAGAGATAAATTTATTTTTCAATGGGCTATGAAAATCCTCTAAAGTCAGGAGTAAGTTATATTCAATGGTTGGAGTGGTCATATAGACTTATCTTACCCACGCTTGGATTCCTCGCTCAGCACATACTATTACTAAACTTGATATACTGTCTTCTTCTATGCTTCCTTAAAATTGATTTATCAGCCATTTTCAATATTGTTATAAAATCTAGGGGTTTTGGGGTTTTGGGGTTTTGGGGTTTTGGGG